AGGAAGTGACGTATAATATATACTCACCTGTACAAAGCGGAATTCCCGCCAGTTAACGGCATTGCTGACCGAAGGCAGTGAAGTGATGCCCAGTAAAACATAAAAGAAGAATCCCAGTATACCCAGTGCCACATAGGAGTCAGAGAGCCAGGCATAGTAGTTCAGAAACGGGTACGTGGTATTGGATTTAATCTGCAAAACAAACACAAAGTAGCTTTTTTTCAGTTATCTCTATGAATAACACTAAACTGTGTTTATATTAGAATACAAAGTTCCCACAGATGAGCCATCGCTGGGCCCCTGTGTCTTCACTATTTGTCCAGTACGATATATCATTTTAAGCCTCTTTGGAGCTTCCTATTTATATTTTGCTGTTATTTATTTACTGTGAGCTGAGACTGTAGCTGAGTTTATTTTCCTAGGTTCTAATTCATTTTAAAAGGTATTCTAAGCCAACTGTAAATAATCAGGGATTTTCAAATTAGGCGCAGTAATAACACGGCATCCTGCTTTACTCAGATATCCACTGCAGACCAAGAACCACATTTATTCGAAGGTTCATTTTAAAATCCAGAAAAAGGAATTAAATGTGAAAATGTTCATAAGACGTTGAAAAAAAAGAAAACAAGAAGAAAACTCATCTGTTACTTTAAAGTGTATGGAAACCCTAACGATGAACTTCTCCTATTTGCTCCCTTTTGCTCTGTTTAATATGCCGTTGAAAGCTTTTGTTATATCTGTGCAAAAAAAGCTGTTGATCCCGCCAGAAATCTTGTGAGCGGATCTCTTCCTCTGAACTTTGACTGTGCTGCATCAGTTACATTGCACCCAGCTATCCATGTGGAATACAGAACACTTCTCCACTTTGTTAAGGAGAAGGGTGACAATGCTGCTGCTTCATACACCAGATTCAAACTTACCACCAGACCCACCAGCAGACCCAACAGTCTCACTATCAGACGCACCAGACTTACCACCAGACCCACCAGCAGACCCAACAGTCTCACCATCAGATGCACCAGACTTACCAACAGACCGACCAGACTCACCACCACATTCACCAGACTCACCACCAGATCTACCAGACTTACTACCAGACCCACCACCAGACCTACCATACTCACCAGCAGATCCACCATACTCACTGCCAGACCCACCAGACTCACATCCGACCCACCAGACTCACCAGCAGACCCACCAGACACACCAGCAGACCCACCAGACTCACCACCAGACCGACCAGACTCACCACCAGACCGACCAGACTCACCACCACATGCACCAGACTCACCACCAGATCTACCAGACTCACCTGCAGATCCACCAGACTTACCACCAGACCCACCACCAGACCTACCAGACTCACTAGCAGATCTATAGCAGATCTATCCAGACTCACCAGTAGACCCACCAGACTCACCAGCAGACCCACCAGACTCACCACCCAACCCACCAGACTTGCCATCTAACCCACCAGACCCACCAACAGACCCAACAGACTTACCAACAGATCCACCAGACTCACCAACAGACCCAACAGACTCACCACCAGACCCGCCAGACTCAGAAATAGCAATGAAAAACTGGTAGAGGTTCTATCTCTTCCGTGAAGAGAAATGTCTTGGTTATAGATACACTTTATTTTTTCCATTGGTTCTTCTGCAATATTGTTAGTTGAATTCAAAGTAGTATTAAACTCTCAGACTTTTTTCCACATTACCCAGCAGAAGTATTTATATAAATTTTTTTCCAGTCATTCACAGTCATCATTTTTCCAAGCAGCTCCAACTCTCTCAGCTTGGGTTGCCTGAACTTCTAGTCCAGTACAATATCAAAAGGTAAAGCAAAGTTTCCAGGAACTGTCTATCTACTAGCTTGGAGAAGAGCGGAGAGGGGAGGTAGGTGTCGGGAGCAGGGAGATTGGCTTGCCTTGCTGTGTCTATATATTTGTGGAGACACACACAGCTTACTAGCAAATGCAAGGGTGGCTCCATAGGATCCTACAAAGTAAAGAAGCCACCCTAAACCAGGATATCAAGGCTGATGCTCAAGGGACCAGCTGATTCTGCAGGAAACTAAAACTTTTAAACATCAAGGATCGGCATCCATTGTAAGTGATTTCATCAGCATTTAAAATAGCTTAAAAAAACCTTCTGACTTTAGTAACACTTTAATGTTTCTGATGATAAAAGGATTACCTGTGTCTTTATGTAATATTCCACCCACCATCTTACATAGTAACGTATGGGCATCACCAGTGTGTAGATGGCATGTAGAAAGGCATAGGCCAATGCTACCAGCCCAAGCTGTTTCCGGCAGAGCATCCATTTGTCCAGCCAGTCTGGAAACCGGGTGTATTTGGTGCCTTTATAGAGCTGGATGATGGCTGCGAAGATTCCTGGGAGATACACTAAGGCCAGCAGTATGAGAGACACGATGGGGAACACTCGGTTGGCAATACTAATCATGATGAGGTAGGAAGTGTCCTCCTTGCTCGTGACCAAGGGATTTAGCACTTCAAAGACGAGACAATAGAGGAAGACCAATATGGTGAATCCAGCGCAAATATAGCAGGGAAGTCTCCACATTGGGAATAACTGAAGTGGGTAATTCTCAATCTCTTTGGCTGCCAGCAGAGATCCATGATCCAATGGTGTTAGTCCAAGAGATCGAACAATCTCCATAACCGATTCCTTTGCTTTCGCATCATCTCCACATAGGAAAACCTGTTCAGTTATAAAGGGGAGTTTGAAAGTTTCATTATTAAGCAATGGTAAAACAGTAAAAACAATGTTAAAATGAAAACATAGGGGTCTATTTATCAACAATTCACAGAGCCATTCGTCCTGTAAATCATGCGATCTGTGCAAATAGAGTCAAAAACTAACGCTGTTAGAATATTTTAAATTCCAGCCGAATATAATGCAATGTAATACCGCATTATGGCCCCTAGATGGAGCTGAGGAGCATGGGAAATAAGTATCCTCTAGTGGCCATAATGATGTATTACAGTACAAGAACATTCATTTTTGCCCTTAATTTGCACAGAAATGAAAAGTTCAACAAGATTTACAGGGCGAATGGCTCTGAGAATTGATTTCAATACTACCATGATTATTCTTATTTTTATTGTTATTTTTTTATTATTATTTTTATTATTATTAATATTAATGTTGTTTTTAATATTCTGCCTTGATGTCATATTTTTTCCGACTCCAGAAATACTGGGGATGCACTGGGGGCCCCAGCGTGCATTTTGGATTGCTGGGCCTCCAGTGCGTCCCTGCACCTTTTGAGGAGGAGTAAGCTACCTCCAGGTACACCTGCAATTAATTTATGGACTGCATTAATATGCTCCAACATGGAGACTCTAGATAGAGTTATGACCACACTTCACAGAGGAGCCTTGACGGGGCAGTGTGGCTTCTACATATTTTACTACAGGCTATCCCCCCTTCAGTCTATCATGTATGCAGCTGCTAGACTCATCCACTTGACCAACCGCTCTGTGTCTGCAACCCCCCTCTGTCAATCCCCTACACTGAATTTCAAAATATTAACAATCACTTACAAAGCCATCCACAACTCCCCCCGGCTATATCTCAGACCTTGTCTCAAAATATCACGCTAACCGTCCACTCCGCTCTTCCCAAGACCTCCTGCTTTCCAGCTCCCATGTCCACTCCTCCCATACTCGCCTCCAAGACTTCTCTAGAGTCTCTCCCATCCTCTGGAACTCTGTACCCCAACCTGTCCGTCTATCTCCCACCTTGACTACCATTAGGCGTTCCCTAAAGACTCATCTCTTCAGGGAAGCCTATCCCACCTCAACCTAACCACTGAACCATCACGTTCTCAAACAATTCATCCCCACACAGCTCCCTCCTCATGTATCAATTCCCCCTCCCTTTTAGATTGTAAGCCGTCACGGGCGAGGCCCTCCTTACCATCTTGTCTTGAATTGTATTGTGATTGTAATGTCTTCCTTATATTGTAAAGCGCTGCACAAACTGTTGGCGCTATATAAATCCTGTATAATAATAATTTTTGGCAAAAGGTTTGTGCAACTAAAACCTCTGTTTTTAATGCATACTTTTAGACAGGGTAAATTGTTTTGTTGCAGGCTAGCTGGCAAGTGTGCTGGGGACTTTTTTTGAGTTTGATATTAGGAAATTGCCTAGGCTTAAGACTCATTTTTTGTTTTGTTTTCACTGCTGGAGGTTTCTGCTACCAGAAATCACTGCAGCAGGAAAGTACCATATTGATTTGCAAAGCAAGGCAGTAAGTGAGTTCAATATTCCCAATTGTCCACTGTGACAAACTACCTATAGAGACACGGCCCTGGGAGTATAAAACATAAAACAAAGCCTGTATCTCTTACCTGTCTGCTGGCATCTAAGGTTCCTGATTGCAGAGCCCAGGCAGACACTGTATTAAATGCTTTGACCACTTTAGCACCTGGTACCAGACCGGCAAGGTGCTCAGCATTGGATTGTGGATATTGGTTAATTTTCAAGTTGTTACTAACATCCACTAAGACTTTGCCCCTAAGGATGTCAGAAAGTGGCGTCAGAAAGTCGTAGTGCTCCCTGTGAATGGCTATGATAATGATGGAAGACTTCACTGTGGCCTCGGCGTGGCTGAGAACCTCGGCTCCTCTTGGAATGAGGTTGGAGGAATTGGGGTTTCGGCTCCCGAAGATGACCACATAACCGCACTGGAGTAACTTATACCCCAGAGATCGCCCAAAATCTCCAGTGCCAAATATACAAACAGTTCCACGTTTTGTTGTGTCTTGGTTCACTTGAAGAGGGATGTTGTTGGAGGACTCCTCCATCTCCTGAAAAACAAAGGCGCAGGTTGGTTGGTGGTGATATGTGGATATGGCAGCTCAGTTTGCAATTTTATTCCAATTACCAATTTAACAAGAATTGCAGAAACTTTCACATATTTCAAATCTGCTTTTTAGGGCTGGTCACACCATAGGCAGATCACTAAATGCACAATACCATGCATTTGTCATTGCAATGTAACGCACTGTATTGCGGTACCTCACGTTGTGCTGTGCTGCTGGGAGGTACCATTCAAATGAATGGCAATGCGACGCACCAGCGCACGGTACCGCACGACATGCATTTAGTGCACTGCTTATGGTGTGAACTGACCCTTAAAGTGTAATTTTAGGCAAACAGCTAAATATAAAGTTAATAAATATAAATATAAGATAACTATTAGTGATGTACTCAGACTGATACTAGTATCGGTGCCGATGCTGAGTATTTAGGCGAGTACTCATACTCACCCAAATGCTCCCATGCCTAGCCCGATACTTCCGGTATCAGAAAGCCGGGCAGCGAGTCATTACACGCTGCCCAGCTTCCTGATTGGTTGGGAAGCCGGCTACATGCTCCCTAGTCACCTAGCGATGAGAAGCATGGGGATGTCTTCGCTGCCAATGGGGAAGCCGGGTAGCGAGTCATTACACGCCACCTGGCTTCCGTAATGGGACTTCCAGTATCACTATTCATATCGGCAAGTACCCAAAAAAAAATATCAGAAAAAATTAACGAAAAAATTGTATTGGCGCATCCATAATATATATATAT